AATATATCCGATGAAGACAATCGTAGAGCGAGGGTAATTATTTTCAAAACTAATTTCCTTGATCATTATTCAAATTTAAAGTAATCACCTGGCTTATTAGAGAATGAACAATATAACGATCGGGTTAATTGGGTCGGTATGTGCCCAGATTGAAGCGATGGGTGTTTTTATATGCATATGTCAGGGGCATTACTGGTTGAATATGACGTACGCCATAATGATGGCCATAATGACAGTGGTTGGAGTAGTGGCCGGTGCCCTATGGGCGACCTTTTTTTATTTCACAAGTGTGTGGAATATGTTCATCACAGCGCTGACAGTCTTATACGTAAGGGAACTACACCGACACCGACGCCGGGGAGAGTCCGCTCAACCGGACAGTGGTTTTTAACAAATATATTTTATGTTTATTTCGCGCATATTACTATGGTTAGTTTTAAATTAGCTATATTTTGGCAAACCATTTATAGTACTGTATAAGTATTTTTGTTAAATAAACTTTTAAACTGCAATATTTGTTTGGTACTTATTGAATGTATAACTAATAGTAACTAGCTTATTTTTATCAGAAATGGATTTATAATAATTTTGAAAATTGTATGTGATTTTATAAATGAAACTATAAACACTGTACGTGTTTAATGTAATCTTTACTATCATAATAAAAATTAAATTAGTTATGTAATTATTTGATACCATTCCATACCATACCAACTGTTGTTAAAGTAATTATCATTTCGTTTGTGTAAAGAAATTATACCGTATATTTTTTTGAATGATGTAAACCAATTATATAATTAGTAAATAATTGTGACTTAGTTTGTTTAAAGTAACTAATAATGGACAGAATCGTGGACTAAGATTGTTATACATTTCACTGCAATTATGAAATAGGTTTAAAACAATATTTATTATTATAATAAAATTTAATAATGAATTTGCATATTTACTCAATAAACCTTGCTTGGCTAACAAATAAATGTTTGATTATTTTTAGTTTACAAATTAGTTTCATAATATGAATTAAATTTAAAATTTAATATCACGTCACTTACAGTATATGTTTAAAACTAAAACTAAATTACTTAAAATAATTATTACTATAATTTTTAAGTTTTTAATTAAAATAATTACTGAATTTTAATTGATGTCATAATTAATAAATCCTATATTATAAATTGTGATTCATGATAAATATATTTTTTACTAAACATAGATTACAATATCAATTTTATGGGTTTGTGAGTAATTATAACTTATTATAAAATTTATCAAATTAAATGTCATTAATTTTATTATTGTGCTTATTAAGTTTTATTAAGTTTAGGAGTGCTTGTATAAGTGTGCAATTTTAGGAGTAGAGTAAGTTAATACTTGTCGAAATGTGATATTTTTATATTTGTATTGCTGTAATATTAAAATTTTTTTATTAAATAATTCATTGGAATAATGGTATTATGTTGCCAGAGATGGACATTACTTATATTTAGTATCATTGGAATCATAATTAACTTATCATTAACAATAGCAATGATAATGTTAAGTGGCTTTACATATAAAAACGACCCAAATATATCCGATGAAGACAATCGTAGAGCGAGGGTAATTATTTTCAAAACTAATTTCCTTGATCATTATTCAAATTTAAAGTAATCACCTGGCTTATTAGAGAATGAACAATATAACGATCGGGTTAGTTGGGTCGGTATGTGCCCAGATTGAAGCGATGGGTGTTTTTATATGCATATGTCAGGGGCATTACTGGTTGAATATGACGTACGCCATAATGATGGCTATAATGACAGTGGTTGGAGTAGTGGCCGGTGCCCTATGGGCGACCTTTTTTTATTACACAAGTTTGTTGACTGTGTTCATCACAGCGCTGGCAGTCTTATACGTAAGGGAACTACACCGACACCGACACCGGGGAGAGTCCGCTCAACCGGACAGTGATTTTTAACAAATATATTTTATGTTTATTTTGTGTATATTACCATGGTTAGTTTAAAATTCGCTATAATTTGGCAAATCATTTATAGTACTGTATAAGTATTTTTGTTAAATAAATTTTTAAACTGCAATATTTGTTTGGTCTTACTTATGGTGGTTTATACTTATTGGATGTATAAATGTATTAGTAACTAGCTTATTTTTATCGGAAATTGATTTATAATAATCTTGAAAATTGTATGTAATTTTATAAATTAAACTATAAACACTGTACGTGTTTAATATAATCTTTATTATTATAATAAAAATTAAATTAATCATGTTATTATTTGATACCATTCCATACCATACCAACTGTTGTTACAGTAATTATCATTTTCTTTGTGTAAAGAAATTATACCGTATATTGTTTTGAATGATGTAAACCAACTAATAAATGTATAATTAGTAAATAATTGTGACTTAGTTTGTTTAAAGTAACTAATAATGGACAGAATCGTGGACTCGGATTATTGTACATTTCACTGCAAAAAGTGGACACTATTTTCATTTTGTCTAATTGGTATCATTTCTAATATACTCACCACCATTATCATATTAAGTGTTCATGATTTGGATGAGACGCAGGTGAGATATTTCATATTTTATTATTATGTCTATTGTCATGTCATTATTATTATGTCTTATTAAAATGACACAGGAAACTTTGTTTGTATAATTAATTTTAAAATATACCTTTATTACTTAAATAGATAAGTAAAGGTGCTGTAGCATGGGTGGTCACCATTTGCACATTCAGTGCAAGCTTTTCACTACTGGGCATATTGGGAGCTTATCGGGAACACTA